GCCTTCACCGGCTCTTGCAGCTCATGGTCGTTGGGCACCCCATCGCCATCCTGCGAGGATTTGGGATCTGAGAAAATGTTTAAGAGTTCGGGTACCCAAGACAGCTGCCTCCATCTCTCGCAGATCATCATCCCAGCTCGGGATCAAATCGCCATCCTGCGAGGATTTGGGATCTGAGAAAATGTTTAAGAGTTGAGGCAAGGGCAGCTGCCTGCACCTCGCTTGGGAGCGCAGAGCCATCCTCCGTCGGCTCCTGCGAGAATGCTTTCTGGAATGGAGCATTTGATTCTTGTTTTCGCTGAGCTGCCAACCCATCCTGGCGGTGGATGATCAGGCTCCACCTCAACTTGCCATCTTCGAAAAATTAGGATGGAGGTAGAGAGACGATCAAGGACCGAGCCGGTACCGAGCGGCCAGCGGTCAGGACAAAGACCTGATGCTTAGCCAGCATAGCTGTGGATTGTTCTTGTCTTTGTCACACTCTCGCTGTGTTTCTCTCTCCTCGGTCCGGCACTGTGGGTGTCAGCGGAGCAGGAACCTGCGGAAGCAGTTCCAAGCTAACTCCCTGTGCTGTGAGGGAATTGAGGTGCCCACGGGAAGCCCTTTCGCGAAGGCAGCAGGGACCTTGGAAGCAACATTGCTTACGTGGAAAATGCAAGGTGTGGTGCGCTGGGGGTATGGCGCCCGTCAGCCACTTGCTGCGCACCTGCTCAGTACAAAATTACTTCACCGGAAAAATGGAGGACGCAGCGTGGCGAGCAACTGGACGGCTGAGATGACGACAGCCTTTCTGCTTTTCGGTCGAGCCTCACTTGAACTGGAATCGTTCATGGATTTGGTGGCCACTAACTAGGACGGTTGAGATCACGACGGCCTTGTCGAGTTTGGCCAGAGTGCCTCTTGGCACAGTCCGAGCCTCAATTCAACTGGAATTGTCATTGTTCGCAGCGAGTGAGGCTACTTGGCCACTTGCCTTTCCGACCGTCTGAACGGCCACGTCCATGGCCTGAATTTCAGGTGTCAATAAAACTCGTCTTTTCGCAGTCTCGTGTTTGAGCGTCAGACGAGACGCTGGCCAAGAGCCTCAAGTGAACAGCTGTCTTAAGACTCGTCTTTTCGCAGTCTCGTGTCTGAGCGTTAGACAAGAAGTCTGCCCAGCGCCTCAAGTGAACAGCTTTGCGCAGTAATTCGAAAGCCTCTTCGCGTGCTTTGCTGGGTGTCGAACGTGCACCCACCCAGAGAAGCTTCAAGGGAAAGAAATGAGCCATGAAATGGCACGCGGGCGCGCCAAAGTTGCATTCACCGAATCAGGCTGCACAGCTTGGTGGCGATGCTTTGCAGAGACGTACACAGCTAACCGATTCAATGCTTTCCTGTGTGTACAGTTTCCTCTCTCAGGAAGTAATTATACTGATACGCATACTGCAGCTACCTCCTCTCTCTCATGTTTTCTTTCTCCCGTTAAAAGAGAGTCTCAGAAACGACGACCCCAGCGTCAAAATGGAAACAAGTTATTGGCTCGATTATAAAGCCGGAAACGGATATTTCGACTGCTGCTCTCCAATGTCCCAGAGATTCGTCGCTGAACTTTGCCCAGCTTGAGAATGGATAAGTTATTGGCTTGATTATGAAGCCGAACATGAATATTTCGACTGCTGCTTTCAGTCTCCCAGAGATTGGTCGCTGAACTTTGCCGCTCTTTCAATCGTCCTTGCTCATACTCCGGGTCACTGCTGCCCCATCCCACTCCAGGGGACCCAGCAACAGCTTCCCTCCGTGATCTGAGCTCCTCCAATCGTCCTTGCTCATACTCCGGGTCACTGCTGCCCCATCCCACTCCAGGGGACCCAGCAACAGCGTCCCTCCGTGATCTGAGCTCCTCCAATCGTCCTTGCTCATACTCCGGGTCACTGCTGCCCCATCCCACTCCAGGGGACCCAGCAACAGCTTCCCTCCGTGATCTGAGCTCCTCCAATCGTCCTTGCTCATACTCCGGGTCACTGCTGCCACATCCCACTCCAGGGGACCCAGCAACAGCTTCCCTCCGTGATCTGAGCTCTTCCAATCGTCCTTGCTCATACTCCGGGTCACTGCTGCCTCATCCCACTCCAGGGGGCCCAGCAACAGCTTTCTTCCGTGATCTGAGCTTTCCTCGTGATCCGAACAGCAGTACTGTCCAATAACAGTAGCAGCACTTCCGCGCTGTTAGGCAACGCTCCACATCCACACTCAGAAGGGTCTTTCGGGCAGGCCGGGTTACAACAGCGGCTTGGCTGCTGTTCTCAGTGCCCAGGCAGACTATAGCGTTCTGCTTATCATACTCACGATTCCTAGAGCTTCCCGACCCAAGGTCATGCGGTATCGTGGTTTAGGTTGAATTGAAACAAAGACACTAAGATACTTATTTTGAATTAGTTATAAAACAGATATTAGGTACCCCCGGCAAGAGGCAAGCAATAGCCCATGTTCGGGTGTGGCTTCTTGATCGGTCTACTGATTGGTTTGCCGTGGGTTTAGGGTTCTGTTCTCAAGGACAACAAGATGCAGTGTGCAGCACGATACTCCCGTCAGGGTACAGCTCTACTCTGGCATTCGGCTCAACATATAAAATGATACAATAATAAAGCTAGTATCAATATAATGTGCTTGATGGGAAGATAATATAACACAATATGTGATACTGTGAAGCTTTTATGCAGTATATAACAAAATATCATACAAAATAAGATGTTGTATTATGCTAATACATATGTACATACACACACGCATATATATATATATATATATATATATATATGCGTGTGTATTACGTACATACGTGCCTGCATCTATGGATTGAGTACTGCCCCTACGAACACACACACACACAAAAATGTTTGAAACATGTATTACAGTGTAGATATAGACGCAGGGGCAGTTCACAATCCATATTGTAATAACATGTGTAATCGTCGATGACCTTTACGCTCTATATTACAAGCGCTGGGCTTAAGTCGACCCAGGTTGTGTGAAGTCGGCCTTCCCCAAGCTCACGCCCAGATTCGTGCGAAGTCGACCCATCCGGACAAAGTCGACCCACAGACCGGGATCCGCAACTGCACGCCGGTTATAAACGAGACAGCCCGACATGTCAAATCTGCGCGTGGCACGAGACTCTTCGCACAAAGTGAAGCAAACGTGCACTGAAACAAACGGAAACTGCAGGTGCACGCCCCGTTCTAGTGGGAGCTATCCAAGCCTCGAAACGAGCGGAAACTGCATGTACACGCTGGGTTTCACGGAGCTTTGTTCTGATCATGGTTGCAAACCGTGCCCCTCGCTACTGTTTGCATCCTTCGGGTGTGCACAGGTGGGTGTTCACGGCTGACGGTGTGTAAACTACTCCCGAGCTTGTATGCGGAATCCCCATTTACACGCTCGCACGAGACGACTTTTGAGAAACACATCCATGCAAATCAGGAATAGGGCTTGGCGTTTTCGTTAGGTTTTCAATGTCGCCACACAACATGCTCCCACACTTTACTTCGGAATCCCCATGTGCTTGCCGGGTTAAGATGACTTCCAGCTACATGTTCTTAAGAGCTTGTGTGCGCTAGCCCCATGTGCACGCTCGTGCGAGACGACTTTACACAAGATGGGGCGACTTAAGCCTACTACTAGTAGCTGGCATGACAATCAAGGCAACGTCCCGAAACCATTTCTAACGGTGGCGTAGTCTGCGCTCTTCGGACTTACTTCGGAGTCTGCTCGATGTGTTCGCATTTCTTGCAGAAGTGTCTTTCGCAGTCTAGAGGACCGACCGTTTTCCCGGTCGTGTTCTCGCAGACCGAAAGCAGAGGAAGATAAGTAAGTAAACACCCTATCGGGCTAGGGAGGGCGGGAAAAGAAAATTTTCAAGATACCAATCTTATACCAAAATGGCCACGGACATACACATGTTCGTGGAGATCGACAGCCGTAGATCCTCGAGTGTCGATCGGTGTGAGCATGAAAGCAAGGAGTTGTCACTTCGCACACCCGTGTGCTACACACCGTAGACACAAGGAATGTCCACAATCTATATCGTAATAACATGTCCAAACATCTATGCTGCATTTTAGCTGGCATGAAAACCAAGACAACGTTCCGAAACCATTTGCGAAACTCATCCTTTTTCCGCCCGGCCCCTACTCTCGACGCTGGTTACGGCAGAAGATAAAATTCTTTCAGTGAGGCAACGCCTGCCGTCAATCGTCAGGCACGACCGGCACTCTTCCGCGCACTCCGGCCCTGCGCAAACTGTCCTGTCTGCATAGAGTAGTTGGAGTGCGCCTACTGACACTCTTATACGCATCAGTATTTGCAGGACGTTTTAAACGCATCTGCTTCACTTTATGCCGCTGTTTCTCGCGGTCATTATGCAAGGTCAGGTCTGCCTTGCATTTCATACGCAGATCCTCTAGTTCTGAACACCAACTCGACCACTCGCCATCGGTCCACAGATGCCGACTTGCTGTACGTGCAAGCAGCTCGGCTTCAGGCATCTGACGTGTGGTCGGCTTATACATGGCAGAGTTATGTGTCAGAACCTTTGCTAGCTGCATTATTTCAAGCTTCAGCGTCAACGTGGCCTTATGAAGTTTCTGCGTCTCCCGAAACCAATTATTGATTTCGTGATGGAGCGCTTCATTGCTGCTTGTGCCAATGGGCATCATCGACAGCCGCTCCGCTGAAAGCAGGTGCCGCATGATGAGATTGTTGAAATACCAACCTGATCTGTTCGGCGCCGAAGCTGTGTGCAGCAACTGGTAGATCTTCCTGTTCGGGCCCGGAGCGAGTCTGTCCATCTCGCGGCGATGAACGGATGCCAACGCCGCGAGAGCTTGAATCCAGTCCAAGCGTAGCAGAAACGGCTTCGCAGGATCCAGGTTCTGCAAAATGCTTTCTGCCTGCACCTTACGCATGCTCTTGTCTTCAATCTGATTGTGAGCCTTTTCTTCTTCACGGGTAAGAGGTTTGGCGTTACTGCCGGTGAAGACAGGCCCCCATGTAGCAGCCGAAAGATTGTCGCGCGCAGTAAGTTTGCGGAGGATCAAACGCAAACATTTGGTTGCCGCCGTGCGTTTTCTGCTTGATGCATACTCGCATGTCATGGCAAGGTGCGTTGGATCGAGTGCCAGCAGCTGCAGATTTGGACAGATAGTTTTCGCCTCCCGGAAAAGCTTCTGTGACGGGTTGTCCACTGAGAGAAACTGAATCTGAGCCAGGGCTTTCGGATGTAAGTGCTCAGCAAGAGTTTGCACCAGCACGTCAGTTTCATCCGAGGAGGTTGCTTGCAGTAGCACCACGGCGTTGCTGCGGCCACGGCAGGTAAGCACCTCGGCCCACGTTTCTCTCTATCGAAGATGGCTCTTTCGAACTATGTCTGTTTGTCAAAAAAGAAAGGTACTACGATAACCAAAATCAGGATGCTCGAGTCAAGGCCTCGTCCCCAACGAAAACTGCCGAGTCCTTCACTTCCCTCCGAGCTCTGGGATGCGCCTGTCCCATAAGCGAAAGACAGCAGCGAAGCGTTGCATCCATGCTGAGGACTTGGAACTCTTCATGGAACAGCATTTCGTCCAGCATGTGAGACTTAAGCTCCTTCGCCTTCTTTGACATAAAAACATCTTCCACGATCGGCCACCAGTGCTTGCTGTGACGCGGCAACAAACTGCAAGTCTCTGGCGAAAACAGCGTCATCATGCGTGCATGAAACGCATAGACCTGACGGGATGCTAGACAATATATACGAACACGCGTCCGCGTATATATACGAACACGCATCCGCGCAAAATCTCTATGCAGACGACAAAAACTTGCATCATGCTGCGGCCTAGAAACCTTGGCTTTACAAATAAGCATCTCTCGGTAAAGGATTTGACCAAAGCCATGTGTGTAGTATAAATTTCGAACTCGTCGCAAAGGTTGCTGCTGCACTGCCAAAACATTCCAGAATTCAGGGCCTTGTGCTGTGAGTACGAGTCTCAGCTCACGATCCACCAACACATGCTTCGAGGATAGTGGCGGAGTGACGGTGTTCCGTAGAATTCGGCTGCTCCGATAAAGGTAGTTGCCTCGATCACGACCCTGACATTGGTCGTAGTCATGAAGAGCAATGATCAGCTTCAATTGCTTTGTGCCACTTGGAACAAACTGTTTTCTCGGTGAGTGATAGAGACGCACATGTTCCAGAACTCGTGCCTTCTTGCTGATCGGCCACGATCGGAACGGACAGAAGGGACAACGAGCAGTCTGTTTTTTCTTGCCACGTCGTCGAAGGCAGCCGTTCAGGTGCTTCTGAACTTCATCCTTCAAATATTGCAGTAACTCATCACCAACTTGGGTAATGCTCTCGTCGGCCAAGGACGCATCATCGTCATCTTCGTCGGCATTTTCTTGAACGTCCAAGTCATAAACGAAGCGATCCTCAAGATCTTCCTCGCTTCCACCTGCCATACTTTCCAACAGACTTTCATAATCATCGTCTAGTGCATCGCCTGCATTTTTACCTGGCTTTTGCTGCAGATGGAAAAACAAGATGTACTTGCGGTCACTGGCTGCCGATAACATATGCAGGAGATGTTGCGCAGAACAGTTGTAGCTGACCTTCACGTCTGTAATGCGTACTTGAGTACCTGTTAGCATTTCCAAAGCCACACAGTGTGGATTCCCGTCGTAGGCAATGTGAAGCAAAACCTTTTGCCCAGACTTGAGAACGCTTGGTTGTATTCGGGGATAGATCGAGAGCTCCAGCTTCTCGGCAACGTCTACATACTTTCGTTGCCGGCGTCTGCGGAAAAACGCGTGTTCGGGCCCTTCGGTCATCGAGGCCATAGAGAGTGCCGACTCCTGCAAACCAAGGTGATACAGAGCTGCCAGTATGCAGTTTCCAGTTTCACAAAGAATTTCAGGACACTCAACTGCTGCACTGTCGGTAATGTTCTTCAAGAAGCCACTGAAACTGTGATGCTCTTTTTCTCGAATTGTGACAAGCAGGTCTGTAGCGTTGTAGATGGCTTCGGCACAGCTCTGACAAAAGGAGTTTACGTCACCGTGGGCAACGGAGCGATCCAGTCTGATGCCGTCAAAGTGAAGCGAGAGATGCTTGCTTCCCAGAGGAATCACTTTCCCAAGCCAGGCTTCCAGCACTACATCCTCTGCAACGTTCCAGAAATAGGTAAGAACCGAGACATCTGGTCTGTCTTTGGAGCGCAAAAGACTTGTCCAAACCAAATCCTTCAGCGTTGAGGCGGCGACCCAGCGACAGAACAACGATGCTCGCTGCAGCTCCTGTATAAACTCATTCTCTGCGAGCTCGTCGGGAGGCACACCGCCATTGAGTACCTTCTGCATAAGGAGTTTGCCTTCCGATAAACTCAACTTGAGCTTCTTCTCAATGATCTCTTTTCGCTGTTCACTGCAAGCACGTAGTGTGTTTTTGACCTGTGGCCAAGCTTGGTGTTGCGGCTTCAACTTTGTCATAATCTGATACAGCAGCGCGAAGGAGCAGTTCTCAATGTCCAGGTCCATGGTCTCGTGCAGCGCAACAGCCTGCCATGCTGTGCCCAGATTCTGTACTGAAAAGCGATCTCCGTATCTGCGAGAACGCAAGCCATCTAACTTGTACTTGTACGGCACATCAATACCAACGAAACCTGAGTCCTTCTGGAAAGGGTTTCCAGATACAATATTGCTTTCAGATGCAGGTGCATCTTCAACTTCGGCAGTCGCTGGCATTTTCTTGCGACGGCGTCGAGAAGGCGTAGTTGCTAACTGTTGTGACGCTGGTTGTGAACTAGCAACAGCAGAGATTTGATTCTCTAGCTTTTCCAGTACAGCGCGGGCACAGTCTTCGTGCTTGCTCAATTTCTCCGACAAGGAACGCCAGACGGCAATAATGTCATGCTGGTGCTGGGACTTGCGACCTTTGCCAGACTCTAACTTTTTCAAGACCTGTGTGTAGAACTGCTGCAGCACCTCAGCATTCGCACCGCGGCCCGGGAAGGCAACCGCTTCCCACAGCTTGCTGGCATGGAGATGTTCCCCTATCCACGTAGTTTCGGAGTCGTATCCCACCTCGAAAATCTCGTCCAGAGACTTCGCACACGGTATCATGGGAATGAATGTTTCTGGCTCTGACTTTGTGTCAGCTGGAAGCAGAAGGTTTTCTTTGACCAAATCATCCAACGTTACTTCTTTAGGGTTGACACCCAGCTTGGGCTTAGAAAAGCGAGACCACCAGGGCTTCGTCATCGTGGCCTTTTCGTGGTCAACAAAAACTTCGTTAGAGCCACGTGTGCTTTTGCCAAAGGTGTGGCCTCTTGATCCGCAGACTCGTCAGCCTCGTCATCGTTGTGCTTGAGGATGGCCACGAGGGCGGTCTGCTCCTTTTCGACCGTGGGCTCCTGCGCGCATCAGCCAGTGCTGCCGAGTAATGAAATGAGTATGTTTCCTTTAAAAAACAATCTTGCTTTAACATGTGCAACTAATCTGGACGAGTGAAAAATCAAACCAGCGTCCTCCGGTGGACGCAAACCACATGCCGCTCTCACCTTGCGCTCGGTGAGTCCACTCATGGCATAATCCTCGATTGTTTTAATGCACTGCTGTCTTGAGAAGTGCGATTCAAAGCCATGCTGCTGCACGATGGCAGCAGCAATGGCAGGACCGCTTTCAAGGAAGCTGCGTAGAGTAGGATCCTTTTGGAAGATCCCGTCGGCCTGCGGGTCAGGGTAGCCATCTCCAAATGCGGTGTCGTCAACGAAAATGGGCTTCGGGTTCCAGACCAGGCAGCGTCTGTATATAGAGTTGAAGTTCTTCTCCATAACATTCTTGAATGACATGATCTTGTTGGTTTCAAACCTTTTGAAACCGCTAACTCTCATCATTTTCGTCACATAACCATATGGCTTCCGACCTGCCAACTCGTCGGCCGACATAAATTTCTTATACAGATCTTGCTGGAAATGTCGGTTCGTTTCGGGAGCTTCTTGCGCGGTAACTATGACACAGTGCGCAAACTGTTCCAGTCTCTTGCGAAGCTCTTCCTCCTTGTAGAAGATGTTGGGATCGATGAACTGATGGTTATGCGCATAAACCGCCGCAAGATGACAACTAAACAACGACTGCCCCGTGCCCCCTGACGATTCGCCAATGAAGCAGCGATCAATGTTTTCGCCTCGCTTGGCCAAAGCAATGGCTGCCAGTGTGCACTTGTAAAACTCCTGATTGCACCAGAATGTTTCCTTCACGAACTTCTGTAATCTCTCACTGGCAGCCTTCAGAACTGCATCAGGTAGTGACTGCCTCAAAGGAAAAGGAATTCTGATGTACAGATTATTCTCTGGCGACGACGTGACAATCTTCGCGTGCTCTTCTGGCGTCGTGTCATACATCACAGAGACATCTTGATACGCGCACCCAGATTGCCGCTGCGAGGGAGTATCACACCACTGGATCACGAACTGTAGCAGACGTCCTTAGCTCCATGTCGTCACATCATAGAGAAAGCATGATGTGACGATGTACTCTTACACTTGTTCATGTAGCCACAATCACATATAACATTTTATAAAGCGGTGACATCTAGAGTCTTTCTTCAAGCAAGTCTTTCTGGAGCGGCGAAATAACCTTAGCGAGCATGTAGGCAACCTTTTCCGGCCAGCCAGAATTGGGAGAGACTTCACCTTCTTGTTCATTTCGACCTTTCCGGCGTACTCCTCCCATATCCGCCATGACAGCGGCATCTTCGCAGGCGGCTAAAAACTCCTCATCGTGATTGTAAGATGACAGAAGTTTAGCGATTTCTTGCACGATGCCCGAGTCGCTGCGCTCTGTACCAGGCAACATGAGTCGAAATGCGCCTTCCAATCTCAACAAAAATTTCTTCAACCTGTAGAACGTTGACTCTGGAGGAACACCATTGTATGGCTCGAATGCTCCGTCGTTGTGATACAAATAGCAAACTCCTTGGTGTGTGCGTATGTATCTGTCGCCCTCAATGATCCAGATGAGACTGACAAAATCACGGACGAAGATGTCTGTCAGGCGAGTTCTGTAGACACTGATTGCAGCGGCTGCCAAACGAACCATGTCCTCTGACCGGTCGACTGCTTCCTGCGTACGTAACCAAGTAGTCGTATAGCGTGTTCTTTCACGGTTGTGGCTGGTTGCTGGTCGTCAGCATCAGGACAGGAGGCCAAAGAATTGCGGCAGGCCTGTTTTGTTATGTCGAACAGCTCATCGAATGCACTGCTGGATGTTGATGCTCCCGGCATCAAACGTCTTCTTTTGGCAGACTCGACCGCCTCCATAGGAAGGCCCCGACAAGGTATAGCTAAGGCTGTGCAGTCCATGGCTTCCTGTTCGTTTGCAGCTTCCACATCCAGAGACGGGTCCGCTGCTTCTACTGCCGGATTTGGTGCGTTGGCCGCCAGCTCCTCTTCGTCCAAGACACGCTCTGCCTCAGCAATGTCGGCATCGATGGCTGCGAAGAACGAAGACTGCGAAGCCATGCCCTCAGCTGGATCAGCCCCTCCGGACACCTCTTGCCAGTGCAAGTCTGAGGTGTTTCCATATGCCGCCAACATCGCGGAAACTTCATTGGTGAGATTCGGTACCAAGTCCAAGAAAGGGCCAGTGTTTGCGTTGTCGGGATGCAAACACACCACGTACATTGCGGAAACAGTGTACCCGTAATACCTTTCCAAAATGTGTTTGTAAAGGTTGAGCTGGAGGCGGTAGTGCCATCCAGCACAATCAGGAAGATGACCCAAAGGTCCTTGCACACGTCGCCAAGGGTTGTCATACTTGGAATGCAGCATTTTGGTTCTTTTCCAGTCAAACAAAACAAGACTGTCATCGAATGATTTAGCCACGAAATCGATGCATCCGGCTAGGCGGTGTTCCTCAGCAAATATACACCATTCCGTCCGAAACGCCAGCAAAGGACACGGGAACTCTCTGACGAACTGTTCAAACAAAGTCAGTTCTGGCCAGACGCCGGCAACAAAGCCGCCGTTTAACAAGACTTCTATCTGAAGGTGCATCCATGTACCCTGGTGAGCCGCCTCTGCGGCATTCCGAGCCCACATCTTTTTGATTTCATCGGGAGTTAGTGGAATCAGCACGCCATTGTCTTGCGCCCTGGAATACTCAGGTCGTGGCCACCGTGCACTCTTTGCCATATTGGCGATTGCCGCATCTGCGTCGAACCTTTCCGCGAATCTGTGAACCAGGCCGGTCACGGACGTCTTCATAGCAACACCATCCACATAGTAGACGTGGGTCTCGGACACAAACTGAATTCGGTTGTCCCGCTCGTGCTTTTGAAGACCACACAAAAGGCTGCAATCAGGCTGCACATTTGGCAAATGTGTGAAATCAGCCGGCACAGACAGCAGCAATAACGAAGACGCACGATTGCAGACCTCAATGGGATGCGAATGTTCGACGTCCTTGGTCCGTACGTAGGACAACATGCAGGACTGAGACCCGACAGCCATTGCCTCTGGAACAACGTTTGCTGCACTTGTCTTCCATCGGCCCTGCGTTTTTTCTCTTGTCGACGGATTGCTTCGGATCGCTGGAAGCTCAAACGAAGCCACGCAGTAAAGGTCATGCCGTTCTGCAGTTTCTGCTCTCTGCTGTAGACGTAGTCCACAGCATGCCGGAAAGGCTCTTCCGTTTCAGTACTTCCACCGACGTAATCAATCAACTGGTTCGGACATCGTGGGCACAGTCGTTCAGGAAAGTGCACAGCATGAACCGAACAAACCCATGTGTCGCAATGTGGACAGACACACCAGCGCGGCAGATGCAGCCCGTGGTCCCTGTTGCAAAGCACGCACTTGATTGTGGCGTTGTTGTCGACAAGAGATGGTATTGGGCGATACTGAAGCAAGACAAAGTTCCTGGTAGGCCGGCCATAGACCCAAACAAAAAGCTTTGCCAAAGCACATGGCGCAGCTGAAGCTCCTTCACGAGCGCGGGCTGTAGCGATGTTCACGCCATCCAGCGAAATCTGGAACGTTCTCGGATTCCAACGGAAGATGATGCGATGGGTGTGGTCGGGTTGAAACCGAATTGTTCGGGCACTCAAGTGTGGTTGAGATGGATGATCTCCCAATCCAAAGGAGGCCCGCGCATTCTCAAAAATATTCGTGAACATGCAGTAGGCATGCGTCCGAGATCGCAAATCGCACCAGTCTCGGACCCCAATATATATGCCAACTGTGTTGGGCGGCAGAATGATATCAAATACAGCATTTCCCATCAAAGGACCAGTTGACTGAAACCCTGTCCCTGTCATGTTTGGCCCAACTGCAGGACGAGGGCCGCCCAACATGCCTGTCGCGCTCCAGTCCAAAAGCATATTGTGAGGAAAAACTGTAAACATGGTGAGCTGACGAACGTTGATGGTGACGACATGTGCAGACATGTAAGCTTCCATCATCCATCTCAGCTTCATGGGAAGTTGAAATTCTTCAGTGTTCATTGTCACAAGCTTGCCTTGCCAGTGTCGACGATCCCGCACGGCGCGAAGCATTGTCTTGGAAGTGGACGCTAGCATCTTGAGATAGTCAAACGAAAAGTAAAATCCTGGCAATTCCGCGAGCAGCTCATCCAACACGGCGCCTCCTTCGTACTCCTCCACTTTGCATCTCATGTCCACTCGACCTGAGGGCTTTACACAACCTGATCAGATACTATTTGAAAAGCTTAAAAGCACGGCAACTTCCACACTCCGCGAAGCTTTCACGTAACAGCACATATCAGCCAAGCAACACACAGGCATGCTGCAATGGTTCTGGGAATCTTCACCACCCACGTAGTCCCATAGTTGATTGAAGCAGCGTGGACACATGTCTGTTGGGTTTTGGAGTACGTGCGATGCACAGATCCATGTGCAGCAGTTGGGACACACGCGCCACCTGGGTAGGCAAAGATCATGATCTCTGTGGCAAAGAAGACAAGTAATGGAAGCATTGTGCTGAATGGGAGATGGCAGAGGACGATACCGAACCTCCTGCCCTATATTCGTCGTGTCAGGCCGAACGTACACCCACAAAAAAAACTTGGCCAGTGGACTTGGCAGTGCCGGTGAACCTTCCCTAGGTCGGATTCTGGTTACTCCGACCCCATCGATAAGGAGCTCCATCACGTCTTGCTTCCATCGAAGCAAAACGCGATGATGCCGCTCAGGTTGCAGAGGCACTCTTTGTGGCATGTGGTGAAGCTGCGGTGGCTGGTCGCCCGAAGCGAAGGAAAGTCTTTGACTGTCCGTGTAAACATTATCGAAGCGGAAGAACGATTGCTTCCCTTGGCTTCGATCTCCCCAGTCACGAACGCCAATGTACATGCCCACTGCATTGGGGGGGAGGATTACGTCGAACAAGGCAGTGCCCAGCAACGGTCCAGCGGATTCGAAGCCTTTCAGGTTGCGCAGTTGTGGAAGGCCCCGGCCAGTCCACTCGAGCAACATACTGTTTGGAAACTGACCTAGCAAAGGAAGTTGTTGCAGATCTAAAGACACGGTGCGAGCGGACATATAGGCCCGCGTCATGGATCTCAGCTTCAGACCATCAGTAAACTCGACTGAGTTGAGTGAGATGCACCTGTCGTTCCAATGCTGTGGGTTCTGCACGGCGCGTTTCATTTCAGAAGACGCACAGGCTAAATTCTTCAGATAGTCAAAGGAAAAGAAGAATCCTGGTAAGGCATGGAGGATGTCTGCCGAAAGGCTCCCTCCGGTGTAGTCGTCCTCGGAGCGAGACGCCTTCTTGAAATCGCCGCGCTCTTTCTGTTGCCAGGCTAAATCCAGGTGAAGCTGAAGAGCGTGCTCCAGTGCAAGCGTTCGCCACTCTTCTTCGGTGCCGCCGTACTCCTTCGGGTGTGGCAAGTCCTGCACAGCATTTCTGCAACCGGCCTTTACATGCTTGGCCTCTGCGTGCAGAAATGCAAAGAGCATGTAGTGCTGTTTCTGTTCCACGAAATCCAAGATTGCCCTGGCTCGGTACATGATGCGTTCCCAGAGTCTCTTCGATATCGAGTTTCGAAAACGAGGATCTGGTAAAAATGCCACAGCCAACGGCGACGTCCGCAAGAGATCCAAATGCTCTCGCATGACTTTCACAACCACTGCAACATGCTTGTCCGCTTCATGCTGAAAAAAGTCTGTTTGGCTATTGAAAAAATCCAAAGCACTTGGATAAGGTTCGTCACTTATCCAACTGCCGCCAGCATAGTCCAGCTGCTGTCCATCCACCAAGCCTGGTAGGACACCGCCGAAGTACTCCATTGTGATGCGCCGCCGAGAAATGGATGAGCTGGAAGCAAACTGCTCGAATGGAACGTTGTTGGTGGTCATGACTCTTCTGACAGGCAATAGACTATAGGCCTGGCGATGAACCAACTCGTTTTGCTGCAGCATCTCTCCTTAGTTCGATCAGAGCGACGCTTTGGTTTGATGCTTGCATGCATAGCTCCATCTAAGCACGAATATTAACACACTTCTACCACACGTACTACAAGTCGTGGCATCAAGGGTCGATTCTCTGATTGCTGTCTTCGAGCTCGAAAACGCTCGAGCCAGTCCGGGCGAAGATCCCAGAAGCCGTCCTCCTCGCTGTCGCTGTTGGAAACTAGATCTGGATTGTGATCATTCGCGATGCGCTGCGGCTGAGGATAACGCAAAATCACACCATCTGTTTCCTGCCGCTGAAGTTGGAGCTCGTTCCATGCTTCTTCAAAATCCGCGGCAGCTTCTACTAGATCTGGGTTGCGATCATTCGCGATGTGCTGCGGCTGAGGATGACGCAAAATCACACCATCCATTTCCTGCCGCTGGAGTTGAAGCTGGTTCCACACTTCTTCAAAATCCACGGCAGCTTCTTGGACAAGTTTGCCACCTGAGTAGTCTGCAACCAAAGCTGGCTCGACATGGTCAACAAGCTCGAACACATGGTCGAGTCGGGTGTTGTCGACACATAGTTTGCCGGTGGCAGGGTGGCGTCGAACGGCACGGTCTTGACGCTTGAGCTGGAAGGACTCAAACTCATGTGTGCGACCTCCCATGTTGATTAACACCTCATCCTCTTGGTGTCGAGCAGAAACAAAGTGATGCTCGTAGGCGAGGATGTACTTGCCCGGCTTCTGCAGAAGGTCATTCCAGGAGCTCGGTCTGATGCTCTTCCTTTGCTGATAGGGCAGGATTCAAGATCTCAATGCGTACTACTGCTTCGGCGCCCTGCTCTGATAAAGCTTCAAAGCAATAATGGTGCTTGCTGCAGCATTCTTATGCTTGGACGTTGTATTCAAAAAACAATATAATATAGTCGAGAAGCCTCAGCTTCTCCAGCCAGGCATTGCCTTGTCGGATACTGAAGGGGCCGTCCTCGAGGTAGGGCACCTTCGCCCCCAAGGATCGGAGGCTGTCGACCAGACAGCACTGCGTCCGCCGAGATGACTGCTGCGTTCCTTAAAAGGGCCACATGATCTATAACCGCTAGCTTAACTATGGCTGATTATTGTACAGCTTTAAGATCTCTAGGGTTGAAGATATCGCGTAGGGCCTTTCTAACATCGCCGTAGAACGAAGGCGTACAACACGAGCTCGTAAGTTATATATCTGTCAGGAAAAAGCTTGATTATGGTCAGAAGACGAGTGGCCCTTCTCGTCCTGGAAAAGCAGGTGGGAAAGCACGTGGCCGTACCTGTCATTTCAGCTGGGAATACAACGAAGCTTATAAGAGTATCTATAGGAAGATGTCTGCTTGAAAATTCATGCATTCCTCAGGCCTGTCCATGGGAGACGGACGAAAGACTTTGATCTTCTTCGGGCCAGACTTCCTGAACCAATGGCCAGTCCAGTTTTGAAAACTCTTTTCTGGACGATCGCCACAAGCGCACAAAACTGCAGCAAAACCTATGTGCGTGAGCTGCTTATTTATAAACAGTCCTGCTTGTAGCTGGCCGCGCAGTCGGCTGGCTGAGGGCCGCTCCAGCACTGCAACCTAGGTTTGCTGTCATCAAGTTCATTCGCGAAAACTAAAAACGATCCATGCGGTCAAGCTTCATCTCTGGAGCTCTGGCAAGATCTTGTACTTGAACCTACAAGTAAGGTTTCGCTTGCGGATCTGCCCAACCAAAGATCCAACGAAGGCGTCGCCTGCACGTCAACCAAAGGAATCAGTTATTATTTTCTTCATGACATATTGGCTCTCGAACGGAATACTGCTGCTGACAGGATGCTCCAGCCAGAAGCGTCGTGCACGTGGAGGCCACCATGTCCCCCGCCATCGAGCTTGCTTCCAAAGTGCACGTTGTAGCCTCACGCGTTTCATTTTTTGTTACTTTGGTTGAAAAGTCTTGCGTGAAACACTTAACTTAGCTTGTGGCATCTCAAAGAAGGAATATCCTCATCGCAGGTGGGCTCCAGCACGCTGGTGCTTGCGAGCCGATTGAAAATGGCCGTCATGAAGCACTTGCCTGCGCTGTCTTGTCGCAACAGCAAGCGGCGTGCCACAACGAAACAACGTAAATCAATCTGAAATGTCTGCGAGTGTCTCCAATCGTTCTGCTCATACAACCCCGAGCCCGTGGTGGTGATCCACTGACCCCTGTAGTAGAAGCCATGCTCCAGAATTGTCTCCTGACAGAACTTCATCTACAGAAACGAAAGACACAGTATCGTGAAACATCTTTCCTGCGTCTCTTCGCGCCGGTTTGTCAACGGCTCGACGTGATCTTCCTATGACGAGCTTGTGTCATACAACTGACATCACAAACGCAAGCACTCTTGAGTTCCTAGCATCCTCCTGAACATCAGTCTTCTCCTTCACTTCCCTTGGTTTCAAGCAAAATATTCTGATGGGCAAAATACATGATTAGAAGACTTCAGAATAAGGCCGGGGCCCAGCAGAAACGCTTGTCGGGCTTCGGGCGCTCAAGGGGTGCTTGTTTTTCGTCTTGTTGCCTCTCAAGATCTCTTTTCGCTTGTAGTATCCGAGATTGGCGGGGCCGGCGCCGAGGGTATAGTGCCATTCGACCGGGCCGTAGTTGAAGGATCCGCCCTTGTGGCGCCGGCTCTTGCCGCCAAAGGAAGGCTTCAAAACAAAGCCTTTGGTTTGCGGAGATTTTGATGGCGTGGAGAAGCAAAATGAAGGTGGCGGGTGCAAATCCGCCCACGGCGTGGTCGAGGTGCTGGACCGCACCGGATGAAGGCCTGACATCGAAGAGCACAACACAGAAAAAGTTGAACCTGATGAAACTTTCGTGTCAAGGCACCAACACCGAGACTGGAAGACACGTGCTTCTGCTTCTGAGTCTCGGGAGCACTACCTGAGAATTCAATCTTCAGAGCAGACTGGGAAAAGACAGTGCTGATTTTTGGGTGTTAGTTACTCGGCCACCAAGACACGGTGTCTGCCCACGACCGTCCAAGTGCTTTCGTCGGCAAGTCTCGTAGTTATGGATGAGATCAGCCGATCGCCTGGAAGTCCAAGATTTTTGACTCTAGATGTGGTGAACTACACTAGAACCATGCCACGTCACACCAAGATCGATTCTTCGTGGTCGAGCTCGGCAGGCTCGAGGGAACCGACCCTGCGATGACATAGTTTATGTACATCCGTGCGCATCTGCGTACTCCTTCAATGGAAACTCTTGTGCGACCCGGTTGCCATTAAAAAAGGTGTACGAATAGCTGTTCGGGAACAGCTCACCTCAAATTCTCGGACTAAGCTGTGCCCCGTGAAACTCTGCTGGCAGCGTGACATGGTTCTTTGGGTGCAGCCAGGATTCGCCAGCCTCCCAAAGAACGGCCGATGGCCGGTCCTGTCGTGCAGAAACCATTAGGTCGAGAACATGAACGATGACTTCTTACCCGCTTACACCTGCAGGAATCATTGCACTGCCAGAAAATTTTAGAATAAGATAGTTGCCTGACCGCGGCGCGTCGGTACAGGGCGCAAGTCCTGGGATTCCGTGGATATTTTCTAATTACTCCACAAAGTATATTAACTACATCCTGGGATCGTGTGCTGCTGAGGAGCCGGTGCTCATCTTGTAAAAGATTGAAACAGCGGTTGCCTTAATCCGCAAGCACAATACACGGCGTTTGCCGGATCGACTACAGATCTGCACAGCTGCTTGCGACCTCAGGGGCGATGGGATGGCGCACGAGTGTCGAATTGCTTGTTGCTCAAGCCGAAACTGCGGTGTCAGGATGGAGTCGCTTAGAATTTGACTGCGCTACAGAGCGGCGGAACTTCTTGCGCCATGAGTGGCATCGCGACAGCGCAGGAATATGCGAGATGAAGTTTCCTCAGACCGAATCTACGGTGTCGGGGGCTTGGTCGCTTTCCCGTCCGGCCCTGCATGACAGCACACATCACACACCACTTCAAAAGCAAACCCTCCCACGCCGAGGTCCCGGCTTGAGGGGGGGTGTTGGCGAGCAATGTACAGTTGGCGTCTTTGTTTTTTGAATAATAATAAGATGTCGCCCTTCAAGTTTTAGGAATGCTAAAACCTGCTTGACAGCACCTGCGTTTTGCACGGTATTTACAGCACTTCCGCACTATCCGACCACCTGTGACTTCGCAGTTTCTTCCTCATTTGAGTTTGCAACTTCAGCTGCTGTCGCAATTCCGGGGCCTGAACCTCTACAACCCCAGACCTGTAATGAAACAGCAATCATGCAGCACACGCAAGCGGTTGCCATATAACGGCTTATAACATTATAACAAAAGAACACAGACACATGTTCGTATGAGGATGCAGCTTATAATGACGCTTGCTTATGGAGCGTCAAGCTAGACGTACAAAGAATCCAGCAGTCCTTTGCTGTGACGATACAGACCATGATGGCGTTTACAAAGGATTTAAACCACAAAGGGTCTTTCGTGTGTGATGATACAGACTGTAATGACACTCATCTGGCTGTTCACCACATCTGACAACACATGGTGTTGCATCATACAGTTTCATGTGTCACACACACGCCCCAGTGCTAAGCAAGTGTTGCTGCACTACTTTCTAGAATCTGGCAGTTTCAAAGTTGATTGTTATTTCAGCACCATGGCACAGCAGCTCTGTTATTTTCGCGTGCGAAAAAAAGGCGATTGATCTTCTCATCGCATCAAAGCCGCATCAAGGGATCGCCGCCACCTGATTTGGAGCTAATTGCAAACAAGCCAAGGACTATAGTTCCCAGGTTGCGGGCACTCTTGCTTCCTGGCCCAGCATCTTGCGCACCAAAACCTTCGTCAGAAGTGGTTAGAGTGACTGCCGGCCGTAAGAACAATAAGCAACTCGCCTTGTCTGTGCCTGGAAAGGACGCCCCGGCATGCCCTGATTCACAACAAAGTCGAAGATCTGTAGAGATGTAGAGTCGTGTCTGTGCTGCACCTCCTGCATGCCCTCGGACACGCGACCCCATCGGTCGCACCGCTCGCACTGCGCGTGCAGATCTCTCCAATTGAGATTCATCCTGTCACAGAGACAAATAGAGACTGAGATTCCTGTAACAACTTACAAGTAACCCTTATGTTGAGATCCAAACCAAAGCGGCCATGTCTTGCAGCTCTCGATGGGGATTTCCTGTATTGATATTGAAAACACAATTTCCGACATACACTGCAACTCAATACCATGCCGCCGGTCCTTTGGCGCAGCCCACTTAACGGACTTGCTCTTCTTGAGAACTCCGGGAGTCTCAGTTTTGGTTGCGAGATGCACAAACATCAAACAAAACAATGCAAGTCCATAAACTGTTTGTTGCACCTTGGGCACAAGTTTTGGGGTTGACACCTGCCAAAGCGAATGAAGCGATGTCGCTATTGGAAAGAAACCAAGCAATGAAAAACGCCTCGCCTCTCTGGCAGTGCCGCAAGGATTTCGCAGCTTCCGTGGCCTTTGTCATGAAGACAAGGAACAAACCATGGAAAAGTAGAATGCAAAGAGCGCAAAGTGAGACCCCGACCAGCACCTCCTTTATTGCAGCTGGAAGTGTCTCCTTTGCTGCACATGGTGGCTATTTTGTTTGTGTATTGTACGTCAAGAGGTCTGCAGCGCGTGCCTTCACGAAAACAGAAGCAGCTTTTATCGCCAGCCGCGTCGCTTCCGCCTGACAATAAAAAGAAATAGTTGTACTTTGTCTTTGTAGTTCAATGTTGACCGTGACCTTTTGGCGGTCGGCCGCTTGCTGGGCCGCGATGCGGTCTCGGTGCTGCTTGTCCTGCAGCCGTTCGAACAGCTAGATAAACGTGTTCGTGACTAAACAAAACCTACAGCAAACTCCAAAAAGTTGGAAACCGAATTAAGGACAAATAGTGCTATGATTCCCTATACTTTACTCTTAGAAATTGAGGCTATCGGGTTTCCAACTTTTTGGCTTCTACCGTAAGCTCAAGGCCATTGCTCGAAAGTTTTTCTTCCAGCGTGTAGATGGAGAGTTCTTTCCCATCCTGACATTCAGGTCAGTTTGTCTCATCCCGTTGTCCAAACCACACCAAACGGCCTTGCCTTCAGATGGTAGTCGAAGAAAACTACACGTGAAAAACTTTGAGCGAAAAACTGCGGTGAGTATCACGTGGAATCAACGTTGCTACCTCTTGTTCAAACAACATCTACAATAATCTCTCACTCCGAAACTAGATTCGTTTGAACAAACACACAAGAAAGGTTTGTTGTAATTGAAAAGTTTTCGTTACTGTTGC